TGGTCACAGAACACACACACACGCACACACACACACAGAATAATAGATAGGCCTAAGGCCTGCATCAAAATCTTTACACTCATAGATGGTATGTCTGATACTTGAGCAAACAACCATCAGGATCCTACAGACTGACACTTCTTTGTTCCTGTATCCAGCTTACAGACAAAGACTGAAACAAACAAACCCTGTCACCAAACAAATTAAACTCTGGTCCCCAGAGGCTGAAGGCATCCTGCAGGACTGTTTCACCCAGACAGACTGGGATGTGTTTAAAGCTGCAGCCACCTCAGAGGACTTTTCTGTCAGAGTACAGGATTATGCTGAGTATGTGACAGGGTACATTACTACCTGTATCGACAACATTGTGCCCACCATACAAGTCAGGAGGTTCCCCAACCAGAAGCCCTAGTCGCCCTGCAAATGAGACACATGCAGGAATCTTTCACAGTGGTGAAAAAGAACTCTTCTTCCCATTCACTGTGATGATATGATATGTTTTTTCTACCATGTTTTCAGGTGTACATTATCTTCTCATCTTCGCTGCACTCGCTAGTTGGTCTACATGTTCTAATCCTTCACGATTTAATATGAAACATTTTTTAAAGCTTTTCTTTTAAATATTGTCATTTTCTAATTTACACGGATGTAAGTGTGATTTAAAAAAAGATAGCAGCAAAAAAAAAATTGATTCATCTCACTGGTAAGTGGCGCTATGGTGACCTACTTCTAGAACAGGCCCGTGGGTGACTCGTGGTCCTTGTGGGCGACCTGGTGCCCGTGGGCATCATGTTAGTGATCCCTGCTCTACACCCTGTTCACCCACGACTGTGTCGTCTCCCACAAAGACATCATCCTAAGGTTCGTGGAACACACCACAGTGCTAGGTCGCATCCCTGGTGGGGACAAAGAAGCATACAGGATGGAGGTGGCCAGTCTGGTGTCATGGTGCAAGGACAACAATCTCAGCCTTAACATGGATGAGATGAAAGAGATGATAGTGGACATGTGGAAGGAGAGGAGAACTCATCAGCCACTGTTCATCCGGGGGCTCAAAGTGGAGAAGGTGAACAGCTTCAAATACCTGGGCGTCCACATCAGTGAGGACCTCACTTGGACATTTAACACCACACAGCTGGTCAAGAAGGCCCAACGGTGGCTGTATTTCCTGAGAATGTTGAGGAGATTTGACATGTCGCCTAGAATCCTCAGCAACTTCTACAGCTGCATCGTTGAGAACATCTTGACCAGCTGCATCACTGTCTTGTATGGCAGCACTACTGCTATGAACCGCAAGCACCTGCAGAGAGTGGTAATGACTGCGGAGAAGATCATCAGGACTCCACGGCCCTCTCTGCAGAGCATTTACCACCGCAGGGTGCGTAGGAAAGCTGCCTCCATCCTCAAAGACCCCACCCACCCCCAGCATGGACTGTTCACCTCCCTACCCTCTGGCCGGAGGTTCAGAAGTGTGAAATGCAGGACCACTAGACTGAAAAACTCTTTCTTTCCCATGGCTCCCATGTAGCATATATTGTCTCTGCATTATATTGTGTTCTTATATTTTTATTTCCTCCCTTCACTTGCTGCTTTAAAGTTCCTTAGATTTGTGATTTTACTGCCTATTTAGATTTGTGTTATTGCTCATCTCACCTTTATGTGGCATTCATGTGGACGGCAAAGTAAGAATTTCATTGTACGTTTGTATGTTTACACGTTTCGTAACTGTGACTTATAACAAATAAACACATTGACCTTTGACCTTGACTGTGGATACACACTGCTTGGCAATATGACACTACTTTCCCACATTTAAAGTGTTGTCTTATTGCAGGCGTTTGTTTTAGGATCAGTATTAACTATAATGTGTGTATTTTAATATTGTGTAGAGATAACAAGAAAGTAGAAATGGGCGTCCACTCTGGGGTTGCAGTGTGTGATCCTTAAATTGAGGCAGCTAATTGAAACGGGAGATAGGCAGTAAGTTAAAGTGGAATTACACCAGGTTTTGGGACATACAGTAGAGCCATAGTAATCAGACATAATCACTCTGTAGCTAGTATAAGCATGTCTTTATCACTACGGGATATTTAAATATTCATAGCGCTTATATTTCTCATTATTTTTGTTGTCATATTTTACTGTTCTAATGAAGATATGAACAAATCAGGTCTATTTTTTGCTACATGAATTCATCTGAAGGTTTCTTTAAGACTCAGACATTTTGTGGAAATCAGTGAAATTCAGCGCTTGTGAGGTTAAAGCTGTCCTGTCCAATTAATGCTTTTGTTCAAAATTGAGTCACTCTACTAGAATCAGGTGTGTTTTTGGTATGTTTTTATTCTAATACATCAGATTGAATTTCCAAGGCTCATACTTTCATATTTGGCTGTGCAACTTTTGCACTTTTGCTGATTTAAGTGCACTGCTGGCTTCCACATATTTATGTTATAGCTTTCTTTTATATGCTGTAGGTCTAATACTGTTCAAATTATTTTGACCTATGCAGTTGCTATTTAGGCAAAAATGTTGTGGCATCTATTTTCTTGTTTTTAAGCTAAGCGAATGGTCTCCTGGTTTTTAGAGTGGTAACAGTCTTAACATCTGACTGTTTGCAACAAAGTGAATAAGCGTAAAGTATTTCCAAATGTAAAGAACTTTCTCTCTAAGGTATTCAGGTCTCTTTCTTTGCATCTCCATGATAATGTGTTGGAGCACGGGGTCAGCTGTGCTAGTTTTTCTCTTCTGCCACCTCCCAGCTCTCCTCTTCTTTCTATTTTTCTATTCCTGTCACTGTGTTTCTCTCTCTCCACCCCTTTCCCTTGCCCTTGATGATGAAGTGCTTTTAGATTTGCCTGTTAATAATGCATGTGTCAGATCCCCTCTTGCCCTTCATTTTTTTATTTTCTCTCTCTCCCTATTTCTTTCTTTCTCCCATCATCCTCATTCTACCTGTTGTAGTTTTCTGATGTCTTGACTCTTTCCTGTCTCTTTCATTAACACCTCGCTCACTTTTCCCCCTCTTTCTGCTTAAAAATGATATTAGCTTTAATTATTAAATTAAAATATTAGCTGATGTTACACATAAACAAATAGCCATTTTCACTTCTTTCTCTCTTTACCTCCATTTCTACATCATCCCGTTTCCCTGGTAACGGGCCACTGTTTGGGGTTGGAATGGGATCTCTCTCTCTGTGATAGCAACTACTCACCCATGTAATCATGGGAGCTTCAATGGAAAGACCACTCTCTCATCTCTTACATTATCATTATCCCATGATTTTAAACAGCTCAACCTCAGTTTATTAATGGATACTAACACGATCCACCATCTTTCTCCTCTGAGCTAGCTACAGTTTTAATGGCTTCATGTGTAAATGGGCTGATGTTCATTGGTTGACACAGACAAAGCATTTGCTAATGTGAGATGAATGGAGAGTCTCTCTGGAGTTTATGATAATGAATTTGCGGTCACGAAGAGAAGCCATTTTGTGGGGGCTGGGGGGCATCGAGCGTGTCTGTTGCTGAGTAACCTTTCATTTGCTGGATGTAAAAGTAATAAAAATGACTGGAGATGTTTTGGTCATTGATTGAAGACCCTGTGTTTAGCAAGAGACAGTCATTTACTAGATATTCCATGGAGAGCTCCACAGATGTGCCCATGTTTTCATGTGTCACTGTATATCACACTGATGAATAAATGAGTCTGTTAACTTTGAGGGCTGAATACCTCTTTGTCAGTTATATTTTGTTAACATGTAACTGCTCTGATGATAAAAGTTGACTTCCCAAATAGAGGATGCGGCTTGTTTTTTGGACTTCACTATTAGCAGTTTAAAAGTTTTTCTTTTTAAAGGCTTTAGCTTTGCCCCTTTGACAAGTTTTACAAGTTTGCTTGTAAAACTTGTCTTTGCAACATGAGTTGTAATAAAAACAGCAATGCTACATATTGTCACATAAGATAAAGTAGTAGCAGCAAAGATTTTATAACCTGTTGGACTAAACCAGTCCTTGCATGTTCTTTTATGAAGAATAGTCAAAGACAAATCTGTCTTTTAAGATAATTATTACAATCAATATTTCAGAAAAAATATTCAAGAAAAGCAATACAGAGCTCTGGATTCTGTCTCTTTCTGAAGCCCTATCACACAGAAGTATAGTGCATAGCTGCTGCAGGAAGCTGGAACCACGAGTTTCCTCTGCATAGAGAATTTATGATAAGAGTCATGCAAAAGATCTGACGTCATCCGCGCTGTCCTTCATCCTCGTTCCTTGGTTGGTTTCTTGACCTCGTTCTGACCCCTCATTTGGTGATCTTGTCGCCAGGCAGATTTTGATCGGTGAAACTCTTGAACAACATCCTGACCTTTCAATAGATAGTTTTAGAGGAAGCACCTCTAGCATTGCTAAGCAACCGTGGTCTACTTCCTGTACGTGGTTTCCTGTCTACTCTTACAGTCTTACACATGTCTCCTATATTCTTAAAGACAAGTGAACTGGTTAAAACAAAAGTAAATCATAAAGCATATGATACTAAAGTAAACTTGTAGATATATTTGCTAATGCAGATTATAATGTCAATCCTATAAGGCCACGCATTTCATATAATGTTGATAAATGTTGATAATCTGAAGCCAAGACAATCAGACCTTACACCCACACACAATTCTAGTGGAGACAGTTTAGTCATCTCAGTATGTATCTGCACGACTTCCTGTTGTTCTGAGTCTCTCTGCACCTACTCCCTCAGCATTTCATGTCCACAGGTCAAATCTTTACAAAGGTCAAAAAGATTAAACAATTATTTGAACAGTTTTGCAAATACATAACATAGCACTAAATCATTTTATCAAGAATTTCTTTCTACAAACCCTGCATGGCTGTCACAATAATACTTTGCTTTGTGGTGGTGGTGAAGACTTCTAATCCTTTAGAGCAGCCTGAGCATAGTTTTAGAGTTGGTTAGTTCATTAATGGACAATGTTCTGCTGTTTTTGCAGGTTTGAACCAAAGTCTGAACATAAACAGTGGCTGAGATTAAATCCTCAAAGGTAATGATTCTGCTTTCTCTACTTTACATGTTGTATTATCATTTTGTTGTCTTTCACTTTTGCTATATGGGGGTTTTTAAACAGTTGTGGTGACTGTAAATGCCTCAGAGTATGAACATTGCTGTAGCACTGTTACATACCAGCAGATCATGAATCAGGTTCAGTGATGACAAAAATTCTGTCCTTATTGTCTACTTTTGCTTCCTCGTTCACTTTTACTGCAGCTGTATATTTTTGGCTCCTACTGTATGTGCTATGTGTATTCTGATTATACAGGAAGTGTCAATCAGCTCCTCCCTCCCACCTCCTCCTGATCATTTTCTGACAGAACTCCAAATATTGTGTTTGAAACTGTGCTTGAAAAGCCCTTTTGTGGATTTTATAAGCATATCAAACCATGCTTGTACTTCAAGTAACAAAGGTCAGTCAGCATGGATGAGGCATAACTCACAGCTGGCAGTGACTGATTTATACCCTTTGCAATCTTGGCTGCACTCTCTTGGTATCTGCAGCATGTAGTAAGTCAGCCATGGCACCAGCAGAATGCTTGATGCAACTGCTGTGTGGCTTTAATTTAAGTGTGGCATTAAGGTTTTTGTTTTGCTGCTGTATGGAAGACACAATATGCTCTTATGTTGAAAATAACTCAAAGGAAGTGATAGAATATGAATGAATGAATGAATATGTGTATCAAGATATTCACAAGCTACAGTCGAAGCTGGCTAACAGTGGTGGAAGAATTAATCAGATCCCTTACTTAAATAAAAGTAGCAATACAATAGTGTTGAGTAAAAATATTCTGTTACAAGTAAATGTCCTGCACTCAAAAAGTATAAAAGTATTAGCATCAAAATATATCGTGCAGAATTGTATGATAAACATTAATGTACACCATATGATTTGATTATAATTATTTATGCAATGTCACTACAGTAATGCAACTTGTAAAGGGAGAGCTAGTTTTAACTAGCATATGTGCTTATAATTTGAATTACTGCTGGGTAGCTTGTGAATTTTCCACTGGAGATCAATAAAGTCTAATGATTATACTGTCATTTTTGTATTAAATTGGTTCTGAAAAGTAACTAGTACTAAAGTTAAACAATGAATGTAGTGGAGTAAAAAGTACAATATTTACCTCTGAAATGTAGTGAAGTCAAAGTATGAAGTAGCACAAAATCAAAATGCTCAAAATACAGATACCTCAAAATCCTTCTTAAGTACAGTACTTGACTGAATGTACTTAGTTACTTTCCAACACTGCTGGCAAATGACACATGGTGTTGAGCTAGGTTTATGTTTTGGAAGACAATTAGGTTATTGATAGATACAGAGCATCAACAAATGAAAGGATTGCACACATCATGCTGCTTTTGTCTTGTAGAAAAGCAATAAAACATATTTGTGAGATGTTTTAGTAAGTACAACCAGTGAACAGTCGCTATTACATAGCACACTGCTACAGTGTTTCCACGTCCAATTATTTTCATTGTTACCTGAATAGTCCCATGACAACACTCTACTATAATCCACTTATCCATAATTTTAACAGCGAGTCTTTATCCCAGCAGTTTATTTTACTCAAAAGATGACATGGAAAAGTGGCTGAATTATAGTGAGCTGTGGGATCTTCTCTCTTTGTGTTTGCCCTCCTACAGTTTCTTCTCTCCTCTTTTCCATCCTTTTCTGAGTAATCCTGATGAACAGGTGGATGGAGGAGGAAAAAAGGGGCCATGCCAGCTTGTTGTGCTGCTATAACACTGTCAATAGGTCCCCCACCTCCTGCCTCTTTCCTATCATGCCCTTCTCTCTCCTTCCGACATTTCACCCTGTTCTACCTCAATCTTTCCTGCCCTCATACTGTCTTTTCTTCATCATTACATCCACTAGCTTTGATGGTGTTGTCTGTTGGTGCAATGAACCTACAGAAAAGTCTTCAGAGATGGATCACGACTTGTAAAATGGAAAAGATGTATAGCAGCCTCAGCCATAAAGGTATGACAGTTTTGGAGGACACTTACCTTGAAGGACACAAACACACTTAATCGTACATATCCTCACAAACAGTAACTTATGTCACAGTATAGCCCAGAGTAACATTCCAAAGTTGCATCTGCTCATCAATACCTTCTACCAAGCAATAACACCCAGGAATACCATTGAGTACTGGCTCATTTACAAGTCCAGCTGGATTTATGTGGCCATTGTCACATTAGAATGAGACCGACTGTTGATTTAAAAGAGCCATGGCATGCTCATTTCTAGCCATTCAATGCTTAACCTTGGGTACCTCTAGATTAGCTTTGCACCCATCATAACTTCAAAGAGTCTGTAATTATTCCAGAATGATAAAACCCAATATCACAAGGACAGCTTCCTCCTGAGAACGAGAGGATAGTTAGTGAACGGACACAGCTCCCGCTGCCAGTCAGGAGGCTATGACAATGCATAAACAAAAAAAATTTGACAAGTAAGCTACATGTTTGACAGTGACAATAGCTCAAATCCTACCTGACATGTTTGAGCCAGAATATGAACAGCATGAAGAACCGCAACAGCATTATTTAATTTGATTTTCTCCTTCATACATAGATAAACAACAGTATATGTACCAATGAAAAGAGATATGCAACACTCTAAACAAAACGGGTAATTGAGAAACCCCACATTTTAACTGGCATAATGCAGACATAGAAACTTCTCCAGCCTTACAACAATTCTTTACAGAAACAATGCATTAACAGGCATTCAACGTGTGGGTTTTTAAAACTTATCGTTAAGTCCCAATGAGTAGTGGAAACTTCATTCCCTTTCAAGTAGCTCCAAGGTCGGTAAATCCAAGTGGTGATTGCTGTGTCTTCCCCCATAAATCCCTCGCATTAAAGGCGACCACATACATTCATACAGTAACATCATGGATCATTAGAATCCTCTCATCAACAACACATCACATGCGGCAGACACACTGGCCTCAACCAGTCAAAACAAACAGGTATTCTGCTCTGGGAGAATCCAGCGTTGATGAGCTGATCATTCCCTGCCTTGGGGTGCTTCACTGGCCAGCTGCTTGTAGGTTAGACCTGGTCAGCTAAAACAGCGAGCCCCTGTACATCAATGGTTCTCAAAGTGTGGGGCACGCCCCACTAGTGGGGAATAAAGACATGACAGGTGGGGCGCAATGAACGGAGAAAATTAGAAATGAGTCATTAATACAAGTAAATTGAACTAACATCAGTTCAGGGCCCGGGAGAAAAAAGTGGAACCAACCAAAAGTGCAACAATAACGGTTTAACATCGGCATGTTAACTGCAGCGCAACAATATAAGGAAACTTTCACACAGAGGGCCAATAGTGTACGTAGTAGGCATAATAATGTAAATGGATAAATGTGTTACATGGACCACAAAATAGCTGGCGATTCAGCACAAGCAGACAAAGAAACGACAGGCAGTAGTCTTATCAACCAAAAAGCCAGCTGAAAAGAAAATATGATGAAGCCTATCTTGCGCTTGGATTCACGGTGGGAATGGTGGGGGCAGAGGAGAGACCCATGTGTGTCTTGTGTCTTAAGCCACTGGGAGCAGACAGCATGAGACCCAACAAATTAAGACATTTAGAGACAGCAGAGCCCAGTCACGTTAATAAGCCACTTGACTTCTTTAAAAGAAAGCTGGTAGAAAACCGTTAGCAGGAAAATGGCATGGTAAAATCCACATCAGTGAACAGCAAAGCACAAATGGCTTCCTTCAAAGTTGCATACAGAATTCCCCAGTGCAAAAAAAACACACACAGTTGCTGAGCAGCTCATTCTCCCTGCTGCTGTAGACATGGTGTCGATTATGCTGGATGAGACAGGTGCTGCAAAATTGAAAAATATCCCCCTGTCAAATGATACAGTTGCACTTATATTTTTTCTGTTTTGAACTTGGTGTTATTTGATATTTCAATTAATTTGAAATTTTAAAAATTGGCCGATTTCTTTATCATTTTGTTGACAAGTGGGGCTTGAAAATTTGCCCGCCCTCTTAAGTGGGGAATGACAGAAAAAGTTTGAGAACCACTGCGCACAGCTGTACATGAACGTTCCCAGACATGCAATAACCTCAGACCCTATATTTTTCTCCACATCCTGTGGTCACAATGCAGGCATCAGGAGGTAATATATATCCACAAAACTGCATGCAGTTGAAAAATTCTACTTTTAGAAGAATAACACCGGTTATCAGGCAAGCTCACATGAACATGCACGGCCCATTGTGTAAGACTTTATATTGTCTCAAAAAGTCTCAGAGTTCACGAGACTTGTATAAACTGAGCTGTTTCTGCACAACAAACGAAGCAAACACCTTGTTTTTGAGCTTTCAGTTATGTTTAAGATGATAATTCTTTTTTACAGATGTAGATGTAGAAGTCAGAAAGCACAGAAAATCATGTTTGGCATGGGCTCCTTACTCAACATGCATGTTCTTTGCCTCCTTCATTTCAAATACATTTTTTATAGTTGCTTCACACATTCATTCCTAGAACACACACACACACACACACAGCAGCACTATTCTTCAGCTGAAGTATGGTGGATATATAAAGGACTGTCTTGCTGATTTTCCATGTTTTAACCAATTAACTATAACATACATTATCTTTAACACAATCACAGAACATTATCTAATGCCACTTTTAGATACCAAGCTTTTAGAATGACTTCTGTACTGGTTCCTAGTACTGGCTTATTTATACTCGTACTAACAATACAGGTGATACAATGAACTCTGAAGCCCAGTCAGTGGATGTACTTGAGGGGGATTGTTCAGTGTTTTGGGTGTGTTCTGTGCAGTTGCCAGAGGGTGAAATAAAAGAGAAAAAGGCAACCTCTATTTCCAGTTCCTTCCTCAAGCTAGCCTACGCTACATTGGTGTAAGAACTGGGATAGGGAAGAACTGCGGGAGCCGACAAAAGCAAGAGGCAGCACAAACTGAAGCAGAAGGA